AGATTTCATACTATCTTTACGATCTCTCTATTCCTCTACGTGTAAAAGATGCGATTTCGAAAATTAATTACTCGAAAACAGTGCGGTCAATTGATCTGAAATTTTGGTAGTAAATTATTAATATATTTATCTTTCGATAAAAAAAATTTCATAACTTTCTGTTGAAATGCCTTTCACGCTACAACTACCTTAAGAGCCAATCAATTATTTTTCGTTCATTTTATTTTTCTAGATCTCTAATAGATGGCGGTAGTCGTCCGCAGTGCTAGAACTGTACTTGAAAATGGCGTTTCTTAAGTTAAAAGACCGGGTTTTTTTATATGTACAAAAAAATATGCAGTATGTTTAATACTAGTATACGTTGCGCGCGCAAGCGCGCGTGTGAATGTTGGTATGGAATTATCTATATTTTCATGCTTATGATATGTTTGACCAATCACGTTACGAATAAAATGTCTTCATCAATGTATATTTTCATATTTTTCATCTAAATTATAAGAGTGGATTATGATTTTTAAATATTTTTCCTCGAAATTTATTCACAACTTCAGTAGAACAAAGCTTAATTAATTTTTTTTTTTCAAGTAAGAACTTTAAAAAAATTTTTAAACTTGAAACAATACAAAGTTTTCAATGAAAATTTTTGTATTTATTCAACTGATTGTTCAGAATATTTTACAAAAATAAAAAAAAATCTGAAGGCGTGGATATTTAAATTAACAGAACTTTTTGTTAAAATTCAGGGATTAATAGAGATGTACGAGCGGGTTGTTTTAATTAAAGTTTTAGTCCATTGTCTATTATATGAATGCGTAGATACAATAGTTGTAGTAGTAGGTAGTGGGTATACAATTTAATATTACTTGATATAATATAGAACAATATATATATATATATAATATAATATGATGCAATACAATACAAAGTATGATATAGTATAGTACATTATGATATATGTACACTGTTAAGATATTGTTTAAATTATTCATAAGAGATAAGTGATAACTGTAACACAAGGTATTATTTTAGAAACTTCTGACGATGCTGCCAACCGAAGAGGAAAGATCGAGAATCCAAGAAGCGCAGGCCGCCAGTCCGGATCTGCCTCTCGGTTCAGCAGAACAGTTTCTACTTACTCTTGCTTCCATATCTGAGCTACCGGCAAGATTGAAGCTCTGGGCTTTCAAACTCGACTTTGAGAACTCTGAGAAGGTAAGCAATCGAACTTTCAGCTAAAACTGAAAGTACATCGGAAGAACTTGCGAAATCAACTGAGAGGTATTAATATGATGCATATACTCGTGCCCCGTATTCATACCAGTATATAATATATATAATATTTGCATTATATCTGTATCTCTATAAGAAAATGTTTATACACATCTCGGTATATATAAGTATACTTATTTCTTAGTCGACTGTTTATTTGCACACTGCTTTGACAAATCCTCGCTTATGATAAGTAAATACGAGGAATATTAACTTGAAATTGAAAATATCTCTTTATGTTGGAAATTGTTTTTGTTTTTGTTGTGTAAACATCTTTTTAATTATGATTTACAATATTTTGTTTGTAGGAAAAAATTTTAATTAAATTTTTATTAATAAATATGAAGGGTTGTTTTGAAAAAAAATCTATCTTAAAAACAACTAGTAGGTTTTTTGTCTTGGATTCTGAATTTTTAGATATTTTTACCTCCTTTAATCAAAACAATTCTCAAAAATTAATGATAAGTTAATTATAATACAAAAATTTTATATTTTTGATTCAAAAGTGAACTTTTTGAATTAAGGCAGTATTCTACTTTAAGCTCTTAAAAAACCCTATTTTTAAGAATTTTTTATGAGTTTATGAATAAAGATATTGATGTAGTTTTTTGGGCTTAGTAAATACACTTTTAAAATATATTAAAAATTGTTTTATTATATAGGGTAAAAGACCCCATTAGTGGTGGGGATCCCATTACTGACATTTTCTTTGATTTTGGTACTTATTCAATTAATAAAATCATTAATTCCTATTATGAATATATTATTTCTAATCTTTAAGGCCTTTAGATAAAAAATAATTTTTAATTTTTATTCCAAGTAGAAGATATTTTTATTGAAAGAAAAAGTGCCACCAATAGGGCTTAGAAGTACTAATAGGGTCTTTTACCTTACTTTTCACCGTTTGAAAATAAAAAAACACTCATTAAATACATCACCTAAATTAATAGTAAATGCGTTTGCGCTGGTGTTGAAATTTCAAAAATTAGCCATTTAAAACAGAAAATTTTGAATTTTTTGGTTCAATACATCATCAGTAATCTTCTAAAGTGAGATTTTTAATTTATTTACATTTTTAACTAGTTTTTGCTTAATAAATTTTTTGAAATAATTTTTCAGCTAGTTGATACATGTGTAAAAAACATGAGGTCCCAATTGCGAAACAATCGGTTAGATTCGTAAATTTTAACACTAAATCGCATAAAAAAGTAGTTTAGTAAAAAACTAATACAATTAAACTGTTTAAATTAGTTTAAAATTTTAATAAAAATTCTTGAATGTAAGTTGAGTGTAAATTTTCAAAAATAAAAAAAAAATTCAATTTTTTTTTAATTTCAAAGTAAAATACTACCTTAGGAAAAGTAAATATCTTAAAGCAAGAGTGAAATTTTAAACAATTTTTTTTTTTTTTTAATATAATACCACTATTAATAAAAATTTCCAAAAAAAGATTCTGATTGTCTATCTAGAACAACGATTAAGAAAAAAAAATTTTTTTTTTCTACTTTCCAGGAAATAGCAGACCCGTTGATGGATCTTAAGCAAGGTATGGAGACGTTGCGGATGAATAAAACGTTCCGTGGTATTCTGAGCACACTGCTATCAATCGGGATATTCTTGAACGGAAATGAGGTGAGCTATTGTATCAGCCAAATGATATCCGTTTAATATAACGGATCCTCGAGTGTATCTATTGAAAAGTTGATATCTCGGCTTCGGGCCAACTCTCATATTCGATCTCACTCATCACATTCTTCTTTACTCTTTTCTCTTTACTCTTTCTCCCCAAAAGCTTTGTACTCCCTCATTTTTTCCCTGTTATTTTTCTCTCATATCAATTTACCCTTTTTTAAAATCCATTCTCTTTCCAGGTGAAGGGCTTTCAGCTGGAATATCTCACCAAAGTACCTGAAGTCAAGGACACCGTACACAAGCATTCTTTGCTCCATCACCTTTGTCATATGGTGATGGAGAAGTTCCCGGACTCGACGGATCTTTACTCTGAAGTGAGTGTTCATTTTTATATTCATAAATTTAAACAAAAAATTTTCAATTACAGATTTAAAAAATAAAAATTTCCATTTGAAAAAATAGCCAATTTTTCCGTAACATATCACGAGAAATTTCATTGTGTTTATTTTACGACTTACTTTATTTTTTTCTCTTATTACTCTCTATTTTAAAAACTTTTTTATCTGGATTTTATTCGTCAGATCGGAGCTGTAACCCGAGCGTCGAAGATTGATTTTGACGAGTTGGCGTCAAATATCAGCAAGCTTGAGAGTGAATGCAAAGCCTCTTGGGACCATCTGAAGCTTATTGCCAAGCACGACGGCTCAACAATGATGAAAGTAAAGTAAGAATCCTAATAAAATATTTATATTTTATTTATAATATAATATATAATATAGTATATAAATAAATTATTGCTTTATTCAAATTATATAAAGCCCGAGGTGAGGTGTTTAGTGGCTACAGCTTCAATTTAAATTATTGGATTTTAATAAAAAAAATTCACATCAAAGTATTTCCCTTTTAATCTTTATTCAATATTTTATTTTTCTTGGTATTATTTTAATTTTAAGGGCATTTTCTTAGTGGCTGGTAGGACATTTGACTCTGGAATTCCATCAATTATAAGCTATAATTATGTGACTGAAACTTATACTATACATAGTAAAATTTATCTTATATTATAGAAATTAATTATGACTATTATGAATGAATATTACGTAAAATGAATTTGTTTTTAAAACTATCAAAAGAACATTTGATCTGGATACAAGTTAGTATGGCTGAAAAGTTTCTAGGAGAGAAAAATCGATTTTTTTATTGATTAAAAAAAATTTTCTTTACAAATTAGTAAAATATAAACTTTTAATAATAAATTAAGACTAAATTAGAGAAATTTAAAAATTTTAGTCATTTTTCCATTCTCCTTTAAAAAAATAAAAATAGCCTGAAATATTAAAAAAAAATTTTTATGATTTAGATGAAAAGTTTCTTCATATTTATCGGCTATAAAAAAAAAAAAAAAAAAAATAGAAAACTGGGGTATCTTATAGACAAGAATTAAATGTAATCTTGAGTAATTTTTATCTAAGAACCAAAAATCCTGTAAATTGTCGAGGATACGCGATGTCCCCTGTGTGAGCAGGCCCAATAAATTTTACCCGATTTTCCCCTCCAGTAAGTTGGCAAAAGCCCAAGTGACTCACCATTAATTACTTGAAGCTTTACTCGTTTTCTTTTCATCATTTTATTCTCATTCTCATCCTTACTTTTGTTTTATTATTTTCCGGGCATTCTTATAAAATTACCAACTCTCTGTTGTTTCTTTATCACTTTGCCCCTTTAATAGGACACCCCTTCACCTTCACCTTTCTCGTCTTTCTTTTTACCAATCAGTAATATTTATCTTCTTTTATATTCTTCTATTTATTATTTATCCCCACAGCTATTTACTGAACATTGTTATTTCCTTTAAAAAAAAAATTATTGAAACTGAAAATAAAAATGTATGTATTTTATTTCCTTTGTTAACAGAATGTCAGACTTTTTAGCCGATTGTGCGGAAAGAATTATAGTACTGAGTATCGTTCATCGGCGAATAATCAATAGGTTTCACAAATTTATTCTCTGGCTTGGTATTCCCTTGCATCGTGTTCAAGACACAAAGCCCAATGAATTCTGCAGAATTGTATCTGAATTCGCGCTGGAATACAGAACGACTCGCGAACGTGTTATACAGCAGCTGGAGAAGAAAGCGAATCATCGTGAGAGGAATAAGACGCGGGGAAAAATGATAACTGAGGCAAGTATTATTGACATATTATTTTTTATTAAAAAAAAAAAAAAAAAACAAAGAAAAAAATGTATATTTATTTTGAATATCAAAGTACGAATTCTCCTCTATCTTATATCTTGTTTTGCCCTTTAACTTTGAGCCCCTTCAGCACTAGATTTCATCAGATCCTCGATACACACACACATGCACAAATAAAATTGTGTCTTAGATCTTGCGCATCTACTTTCCAAGTTTTTTCACTCTTGAATTCACCGAGAAAAATAATACAAAATAAAAAATATAAAATGTGTATACTTGTACTTTATATCTCGAATTTTTTCCCTATTTCCAGGTGGGTAAATTCCGTACGAAAGAAGATCGAGCTGACGCAGAACTTAGACAACTTCTTGGCAGTGATATTTCTGACGTTGAAAGTATACACGGTACTTTACCTTGGAGAAGACAACGAAAGGAGGGTAAGTACAGTCGAATGAAGTAATCTTTTTTTTTAAGGGGCACAATTAGTGTAAAATTTTCAAAAAATCGATTTTTTTTTCATATTTCGGTAGGTTATACCTTTAAAAAAATATATTAAAATTTTTAATAGATATCTAAAATAGTGTTTGAGTTACAGTCATTCAAAGAGTAGCCGCTCGGCAGTAAGAATAGGATTATTTTATTTTTAAACGCGTTTTTTTCGAATCAGCATTTTTCGAATTTGTTGCAGTGATTCCTCGAAGACAAATGATCCGATCACTATTAAATTTTTTTCTGCGTGTTCTGTATATAATTCTCCATACAATGACCCTCCAGTTTTTTGATCTGATCAAAAGTCGAATTTTAACAGGCCAAAAACGACCAAAATTTTGGGTCTTTAGGGTGTCACACTAGTTGTACACCTTAATTACTAAAAAATTCCCTGACAAGTATTTTATATTTCTTCTTATAGGACGAACCTTGCTGGGCCCCATTCTGAGGGACGAGACGACCAACGGAAACGTCACAGACGGCGATGACGAGCTCCTGGAGTCGCTGGTGAAGACTGCAACCAAGTGTCCGTCTACCAGGACAACCCCGCGCGAGCGCAAGAGGACGCGAAACGCCGATCGTAAGTCTTGTAAGTGCGATCCCTGCACCCTGCACGTGACTCCATTGCAATTAAATGTTATTTCCTAGTCTTGTTAAATTAGAATCTTATGTAAGTAAAGTTCAGCAGTAAAGCTCTCTTGGGCTGAATTTTAAAAAAGAGCAATGCGGTGGAAGTCACAAGCCGTTGTGATAAATTTATAAAATTGCACCTTATTCGCACCCTACATTATTCTACCCTCAATTTCATTTCTTTCTTGCTACGGTAAATTTTATTCACGTCAATGGACAAATCATGACAAATGTGATAAATGGTTCAGCAAAATTTTATTGATTATTCTATTTTATTGTGTTTATTATTCAAATATAAAATAATTTATCATTTTCTTCAATAAAATTTTCTTAAAAGTTTTTAGCAAAAAGGTAAAAGCCCCAATTATTGACACTATAAGAGACAAAGTTATGATTTCTATTTTTTTAAGAAATCAAATATCAATATCGTTGAATTTTGTTTGTGGTAATGTCTCAAGTAATGTTTTTACTCATCAATTTCTTTCTTTTTTAATGACAATCAGTGATATTTACTAATTAATTTTAAATCATTAAATAAAGTATCCGGATATACCAATTATTGACAGGTTAAAAATTTATTGATCTAATTATTGACACCTATACTGCGCATGCGTCGAATCATCTGCTTATTTTTATTTATCGAAACTTATTATTAAGTAATCAATATTATTAAAGTTTATTAATAATAATTTTCATAAATGATTAATTATTATTAAAAATATAAAAATTAATTTAAAAAATAATTTATTGAATCAGAAGAGTTCAAACTTTTACAATTTTCTTACAGTTCAAACTCTAAAAATTATACTAAAAAAATTAAACTAGTTATTGACACCCATTATTTAAATATTTTAAAGCATACAATTAATTTCGATTATTCAATTTTATAAGTATTTCATATATTGTTAATTAAAAAAAAAAAAAAAAAAAGATCAAATAATTGAATGAAGAAATTAATTTAAACTCGGCATTTAAAAAAAAATTCTTTTTTAACCAAAGTTGTTAAGAAAATAGACGCTTGTAAGCTGGTTTGATGAACTGTGCTAACTTTATTTTTTTTTAATATTTAATATTTTAAACTGACAGTAATTTTTTTCAATTTTTTAAATAATCAGATAATTAAATATATTTAAAAATAATTAAGGGTGTCAATATTTAGACCCCTGTTAATAATTGGGGCTTTGACTTTGATAATGAAGTTAAAGTAAGGCAAATTTGTTCTTACAAATGTTAATCAATCGAGTAAAATAAATATGTGACTTATAAATTAAATAAATTTGAAATTCACATATCTGGAGCAATACTTGAACGAGTTGGTTAAATCAATTGTTCTCTTGAAAATCGATAAGAGCAATTTAGGCGCAACGATTTACGCCTTGCCGCGCGACTACGTTTATTCGCTGACTCACTCCTTTCATCTATATATATGATTTTACAACATATACATACATTTATAGATGTGTGTATGTTCATTCGTAGGTACGTCGGTACATACGTATAAAATCCACATGAGATACCCGAAGCGAACACGAATCTCTCTATCCAGCACAGCAACCTCGTTCAACTTGATCGCTTACGGAAATTGATTTTCCCAATACAACGAATACACACAGTCGTTACCAAACGACAGGGTACCCTCTTGAAAATGCTCCACGCGGTAGCTCACAACCCGATTTAGCTTTTATACTCTCCCTTACAATATTTATTTTACTTCGCTTCTGTGAAAACTTCAACCCTCGGTCAGTACTCCTTCCGATCTCATTATTAGTTTCGATTACCTGCCCTTTCAAACTCGTTACAGTGACGTTTGAACCCGAGCATTACGGAAACATTACTTCTACTTTTACTTCCCTTTGATTTCGATGTAGTCGCGTCAATCAAAATCCAAAATTTATGTACTATCTGTTAAATATTTATCTATAAAGTCGAGAATATTTTTTTAGTACACTGAGAAAAAAAAATTTTTATCCAGAAAAAAATTTTTTTGACAAAAAATTTTAATTTTTTAAGAAGTAATATTGATTATAATTGAGTAAAAATTACTTTTAGACTGAAATAAATTTTTATTTATCTGAAACAAGTTTTAAATGCCAAATTTTTAACAAATACTTCAAACAATTTATCTAAAATTGAAGTTTGTAAATATTAATTTTATTTTTCTAAAAATTCGAATCAAATTTTTATAAAGATTATTTTGTTTTTAAGTCTTGTTGATAAATCCATAAAATAATAAATTATTTACATTGCTACATTTAATTAAATAAAATTAATTACTTTGATGTTACCGGAATTATTAACTGACATATAACTTTTAGGATTTTTTTTTAAATAAATTATTATAAAGAGAATTTTAAAATTTGTTGTATCAAACTAAATAAAAAGTTTTAATTAAATTTATAAAATGTCTAAATATGCATTTTGTAATTTTCAAATAAATAATAATTATTTTTTTAATTTTATTTAATAAAAAATTTACCCAGGAGTTTTTTTTATTAATTATATGAATAAAATTATTTTTATTTATAATATGGAGAGATTAAATTAAAAATTCTTGATTGAAGAAAATTATCTTAATAATAGTTTTTTTTACTCAGTGTAACTTGAATTTATATTGATATATTATATGACCAGATCAGTTATAAGTATCGTAACTCCTCGTTGAAGTTTAAAGTACTTTGATATACAATAGACTGCAAGCTACTCAAATACTCTCGTTAATGGTCAATTAATATCACGAAAGTAAGCTTTAATTGAGGATTTAATTTTAATGGTCGCTATTAAAACTTCATTAGAAGTTATTTATTTTAATTATCCAAAGCTCATTTCTCTTGAAATGGTAATAATTATCAAAACTTCAATTATTTAGTAGATGAGGTAAATTTTGTTCGAGTTATAGTTGTGTAATTAAACGAGTTAGTCAACCTACGTTTGAAGGAATGAAAACTCGATACTACTTTTCATAATATAATGTCATAATAAAATTTGTTTTTTAATTTTTCGAATTGAATAATAAAAATTTGATTAATATAAAAAACAATTTAAATACTAACATATTTTAAGCCCCAATAAATGTAAATAATATATGAAAATAACTAATGGTAAAATTAAAAATAAAAATATTACAAACAACGGTTTAAAAAGGGTGTGGTGATGGTCGTAATAAAAAATTATTTGTAAATAATTAATGAATTAATGGGTATTAAATGTTTTCTGCTTATAAACAATTATATTTTTGTCTGACAGTAAAGCGATCACGCACCCGCGAGAACAACACTACGTCAACAGGGTACCGACCCTAGAGAGACACGCGATATATATATATATATATATTTAGATCCACCATTTTATTCCACCGACGTTCAGAAAAAAATGATAAAAATGAAAAATGAAGTTAAAAGGAATAAAGGTTCGCCGGTTTTTGTAATTATTATTCCTGTGATTGTGCAGTGTTTTGTCTTTCGTTACTTTTTAACGTGCGAGGATTTTTATGCATGCAAAATTTTACTAAAATACTCGTTAGATTTTTTTTTGCTGAGAGAAAAAATTTATTTTAAAAATAATGAGCAAATTCGTAATAAAAATTAATTTATTGAAAATTTTTAACAATTTTATTTCTTAGCTGAAAAAATCAAAATTTTTCTTACATTAATTTTATTGTTAGAAAAAAATTTTCTAGATTTGGGAAAAAATTTTGAGTATAAATTCGCAAGTTGTCTATCTAAAAATATTTTTTTTTCTAAATCAAAAAAACTTTTTATCAAGAAGAAAATTATTGTAAGAAGAATTTTGATTTCTTCAGCTAAAAAATAAAATTTTCAATAAATTAATTTTGCTCATTTTTTTTCAAAAGAAATTTTTTCTTTCAGTGTGCTGTATATGATTTTTGTATTATTATATGATTTAAAATTTTAACGCCTTTTTATGTTGTGTGATATTTGCATTGAGTTTAAAATATGCGAGCGAAAATATTAAAGAGATTATTCAGCCAATAAATTATTTAACAATACGGCTTATGTCTTGTTTTCTATTATAAAAATTTTTGACAGCGCTGGTTGTTCATCGGCGATGCAAAATGAATTAACTTTAATATTACAAAACAGATTACATGTTTGAGGTTTAATAAACAGCTTTCTGTTCATTTTTAATATTTGAATTTCCATTGGGATTTATGAGTTCTGTTATCGGATTAATAAGTACAGTATTTTTATTATTTTATGTGCTTACATTCTGTTGATTTATTATTTATTTTATTGCATACAACAGCAAATTAAATTTTAAAAATTTTTATTCCACTTTTGCTCTTTGAAATATTCATTTCAAGGATAATTAAAAAAATACTGAATTTTAAATAAATAAATTTAGAAGAGTCCTCTGAATCAATTTTTCAATATTAGTTAACTTTTGTATAAATAATTTAATTTTTTTTTAATTATTAATTAATTTATTATAGAGAGAATAAAAAAAATGAATTGTAGAAATTAAAAGAAGTATTGATACAGTTTTTTTTTAAATATTAAAATGTATTATGAAAATAAAATTAGCAGAAATCTGACAATTTTCAGAATTTTTGTTATTAATAAAATTATTACAAAAAAATTAAAAGAAAAAATTCCACATGTAAAAAATTTGAAAAACTATACGTGCAATTTTTTAAAAATATTTTTTTATTTGTAATTCAATTAATAAAAAAAAATAAAAAATTTTCGCTGTCGGCTAATTTTAGTTTCATAATTTATTTATTATATCTAAGGAAAAAGAGTTTGTTCATTTTTTAAATGTCTAAATACGCACTTTGTAATTTTTAAACAAATAATTATTTTTATTTAATTAAAAAATTCACTCCGCAATGATATAAATTTCAGTGCGAAAAAATTAATAAATTAATTAAGCCCTCCGCAAATTTTTTACAGTATATAAATTTCAATTTCAATTTGAATTAATTCTTAAATGTAAAGAGAAGTATCATAAAATGTATTAATGTAGCGACAATACAAATGATTTATATTAGACAATAATTACATATTGAAATATATGTATATGCGCAAAATAACTTATCGATTGCGCTGTCTGTCTTGTTACCACTATTTCTCTACACACTATTCATTATATCCGTATTCATGATGAATGATAACAGATAATATATGTATATATTAATATATATGTAATTGTAGTCTAGTGTATTCTCTTCTATTCTCTGGTTTCGATTTTACTGAAGGATTAATATCCAGTAACCCTCATGCTGAGTATAGACCAGATGAAGGAGTGTATAGTAGTATTGCCCAAGAGAGACACAAAGAGACTAACATTGTCACAACGTCAATCCGATTAACATGTACGATTTCAGAGAATAGTTAAATGCTTTGGTTTACCTTGTTACATAGGGCACAGGACCGACCTCCACTAATGTAACAACTCACTGAGTATACACTTCTATAATCTATCGATTGTTGTATCATTAGTCCAATTAAATGGAAACAGACATCTACAGACCAACACTTGGATATTTATATGTATATATATATACATGCAATATACCTTGACTGGAAAAATCTATCCAGACTAATTTATGTGTCTACCATACCGTAAATTTTCGACAATCCTGTAATTAGTCCGTACCACTGTTTAATTGGGTTTGTTAATCTAGTTGTGTTACTATTAACAATCATTTTTGTAAATTTTTTTTTTATATTTTTATTAGAAATTATTTTGAAAAATTTTATCAAAAATTACATCAAATATTAAAAATTATTTTTTCTATTTATTTTATCAGAAATTATTAAAAAAAATGTTATCAAAAATTATTATTAAAAATTTAATCATGATAAATAAAAATTTTTACTTAAAAATTTTTTAAACATGAAACTTTTTAATAAAAATTGTATGAACAATTTTTTTATAAAAAAATAATTTTTCATATAATAAAAATATATTTTTAAAAAACGTAAATTTATCATTTAATACATATAAAAAAATTAAATGAATTGAAAAAAAAAAAAATAAAAGTAGAGGCAGTTACGCAAAATAATTGGATTTAATTAACATAATTATTTTCTTTACTTCAATATAAGCAGGGAGTTGATGCTCGAGGGTTGAGCGCATTATAGAGAAAATGAAACGGTTGGTATGAGTTAAGAAGGTTTTGAACTCGAAATGTTATTTTGAGAGAACGCAAATTCTATTCTATCAAAGTAAAAGAGATTGAGTTTATTAAACCTTCAGGTAATGCGATTTTACTTCCTGTGTTACGTGAGATTTATAGATGTGTAATTAAATATGCATATTAAATACACCGGATTAATTTTACTCTTTCAAAAGGATTGCCGTTCAATTTACCCGACGGTTCGATGTACTTATTCTTTACTCTGTTACTAAGTACGCGACTGTATTATTAATTTAATATTTGCAAATTACAAAATCTTTCAATTATATTAAAATTTCTTCTTTTAAAGTTGCCAATAAAAAATTAATTTTTATTCAATTTTTTTAAATTCACAATATCAAAAGCATCTTAAAAATTTATGTTAATAATTTTATGAGTTCTTAAAAAATATTTTTATTTATTTCATTATTAAAAATTTGATTATTATTCATCATATTTGACCATAAATTTTTTTGGCAAATTTTCTAACTCCATTTTAGATAATCTCCCTTTGTACGAATTAGTTCAAAATTTATTATCACTTAAAAAAACAATTTAATATCTAATAGAGATGTAATATTTTGGTTTGGATCATTTAAATAATTTATAATTAGACTATTACCATATCAAAATGTTAAAAAATCACCCTTTAAAAAATAAGAAGTTAAACCAATTGCTCCATCAGACCGTCGATTTTTTAATTTTCATATTTTCAATTACAAAAACCCTCAAATAATCGAAAAAAGAAATAAAGAATCAAATTGATAAATCAATAACTAAAAAATTCCTTCAAATTTTTTATCGATATTTTTTTTGTAAACTCATATTTTACTTTTTAATTTACCTCTTCTATTTGATTAATCACAGCAAACTGTACTTATAAAATTTTAATCTAATTGAATTTTCCCGTTGAAGCTTCAATGCGAAATCTCCTGTAGCTCTCATTGTTATAACTAATAATTACACTACGGATTATAATAAAATATTATATTAAATATTTGAGATAATGAACACGAGTATTAATTACGTTAAAATGCAAATGAGAGTACAAACCACAAAAAAAAATCTTTGGGCTTTTATCAAAATAAAAACAACAGAAATTGAAAGCATATACCGCAGAGGTAATTATATAGCTCGGTATATATTTACTACAAGTCCGTACTCCGAAGGTGCATCAATTACACTGATTCCATATTCACAAATACCCCCTGTGGCATAAATATATACACATATATATACCCTACACCTACTCTTTCATCACAAGGGAGTAAATTTGCATGTACGTGTATTTTGTGTGGTCAGTTTTGAACCCCGAACTCTAAATAAAAGGCATGCTTCTCTTCTATCGCAGCAAAACTCTCTTTCTTCTTAAATAATAATAATAATAATAAGTATTATTTGTGATTTTTGCTTCTGAAAAAATCTGCCATTTTTTATCAATTAAATTAACACAATATAATATAATAAAAAATATATTTTAACAATGAATTCCAGTGCGCAGGACTCTGAAAAACGGACTGTCGGAGGAAGAGAAGAAGCATATAGCGGCGTACATAAAGGGCTACTGATTAAAATATTAAATAATGTAAAAGAGGTTTTAAAAACTGTGATATCACTTTTATGTAACACTGTAACGCGATAATATTGTTATTGTAACTGCGCGGTGGTGCCTGAAGCAGCGCTAACGAGATTGAATAGCCGGCAAACAAACGACCGTTTCAACGGAATAAGAAAAAAAAAATATACGAGAAGAAATTCAAGTTTAAAGGAACAGGACTGAAGAAAATAAGTTGAGAGGGACAAAGCGAACAACTGAGACTCTCGTTGACATAACAACTTAACGTTTATACTACTTATAACTTCTACTGCTCGTACTCCCACTCGTCCTTGTCGCACTACTACTGCTGCTACAATCCCTGCTATTACTACTGCTGTCTACCGTAAACGTCACTAAAGATTATCACAATTTAGCTTATGAATTATTATTATTATTATTATTATTATTATTTAATATCCATTTTTTATTTTATTTTTTATCATGATATAAGCTTCTTATAATACGTCTTGTTCTTTGGGGAAATTCAATTTTAATTGTTTCAAAAAGAAATAAATTTTTTTTTTAGAAAATTTTATCAAAATTAAACGTAAAATATGAGGCTTTTTATCTAATGCCATATGTAATTTTATTTTTATTAATTTAAATGTATGGGTTGTATGAAAAAAAAAAAAAAAAAAAAAAAAAAAAAAAATTGGAGAATGTCAGAAAAAATATTTATTAAAATTTTGATCAAAGAGATTTTTTATTAGAAAAAAAAAAGATTCAACTTCAAAAGCTGGAATTTTTAATAACATTTTATTTTTATGATGAAAAAAATTTTTTTCGCGAAATGACCCGTATTTATATCTATAATATATATCTAGCGTCTATTTAATCGATTGCACCAAATTGAATATTTTTTGTTTGTCTACTGAAGTGACTGTGATAAATGAAAAAGAAATGAAACGAAATAGTATGAGTCCGTTTACTTTGATTTTTCTCGATTGCAAAAAATGTATTTTTTTTTTTCTAAACAATTAATTAAGTAATTAGTTCTGAACGGACATTATTAATGATGAGCGGTAACAATATGGTTAATTGCTTAATTATCTTTAAAGTATGTAATTTTAACTGTAATTATAATTATAATTAATATTAACTGAATAATAATTATTTTTATTTAAATTATTGTGTGGATGGTAATGTAAAATAAAGAGTGGAATAAAATGAATTAAAAATGATTTTTTACTTTATTATTTATTATTGTTATTCATTGCAAGCTTCAATTTTAGTAACTTCCATCGTGAAGTTTTAGTAGTTATTTATTCTCTAAAAATAAAGTTAGAGAACTAGATTATTACAGCGAGAAGTTATTTTGGATAGTGTTGTAAAATTTAAAACATTTTTTATTCAGGAACAAAGTCTTGAGTTTTAGTAATTTAATACAATTAAAATTCACTCGTACGGAAGAATTATAAAGTAGATTCAATATCTCGATATATATTTTTAAACCGACGAAATAGTAATTATTTTAATTGGGTTAGTTTTTTAAATAATTTCCATCTCTAAAAAAACAAAAGTTGATTAAATTTTAATTTTCAAATTAATTTTATAATTATTGAAATTTCAATTGACCTAAAAAATTATTTATAATTTATAATCAACTTTACTCGAAGTAAGTACTAATTTTTATTTAATTTTTTATTGAACTTTAATTACTTAAGATGATAAAATTAATTATTTAATTATTTATTTATTTATAATAACCAAACTCAACAGCCGTAGCCATTAACAGGGTTAATAATTTTTGCAAAGTAATTATTCTTAAAATTATTTTTGTAATGACAAGATAACAAAAAAAAAAAATTAGATAATATTAGAAAGAACAAAATGACATTGGATATCACCCTAGATAATACTCAGTGATATCTGTGATGAAAAAAATTTCAAACATTAGCTAGGAAAATCTAGATTATACTGCGTGATATCTGGATTGGTAATCGGAAAAAATATTAAAGTTATGAAAAATTCATATTATTTCTTTAGAATTATTATAAAATAAAAATTATAATAATAATTGTATCATACCCACAATTTTTCTGAAAAACAAGCACCCCCAGAATGATCGCTTCATTTTTTGTTACAAAAAAAAATATTATTATTTTTATTTTTATTTTTATTTTATAATACTTTTAATGAAATAATATGAATTTTTCATAACTTTAATATTTTTCCGGGATTCATCTGGATTATACTCATTGTAATCTGGGATGATAACCAGTATCATCTTGTTATTTTCGTATAGGTAAACAAAAAAATAAAAATAACAAAAAAAAGTAACAAATTTGTAAGAAGAAAATTTGAGTAATTGTAGACTTAATTTAATGCCATTTTGCAATTAAGTTAGCTAGCGATGCAGTCATATACCCAGTAAGCAGTCCTGGGGGTCAAAGGATTCCTCCATCGCACAGAATTATAATTAAATAAAGGTATTGATTAAATAAATAAAATAAAAAATGCTAGATAATTATTTTGAAAATTTTTTATTAACAAAACTGTGCCGAGACACAGGATTTTTATTATTAACTTTCATCCAGCTTTAACAATATACAATATAATGTAGTAATAAAAATCATGTAAGTTACAATATAGTGATAGCTTCAAGACAACGTTCACTTTGTCACATAATCCATTCATATTAAAAATTACAAATTACATTTTCCATATAATTAATTTAAAAAGTCATTCTTTCCCAGTCACTCCCGCATACCCTCTATATATCTCATATGTTTAGTCAATAAAATTTATCCCTTAATTATGAACCCAAGGAAGATTTTTAAAATTTTATTTTCACTACTTGTAATTACAATAATTAATAATTAATCATCATCAATAATTTAATTAATTAACAACAATAGTTTCTTTACTTAAAAAATGTATAAACGTTTTAAGTAATAGTAATAAGTAATATAATAAAAAATCAAAATATTATTACACATATTATGTTAAATGTTTTAAAAAAAATTTAAATGCATTATAAATGTATTTTATAATTTTAAAAGCCAAACTAAAAAATTTACTACTATCGACTTCTGTACACATTTTATGAGAATTTCACAATTTTATTCTCATATTAATATTTATAAATTTTATATATTAATTATTAATCATTAATTTTCATCTTTAAATAAACACAACAAATTAATAATTAATAATTAACAATTAACTTTATGAAACCAGGGATTAAATTTGATTCCAATAAATCAGCACCGGAATGTTAATCAGGCTTGAATAATTATTGCCCATGGTACTCGTCGGTAATAATTATCGAGTAGTTTAATTTCCGTGAACGAATGAAGACAAGATAGATCCAGTCTCCAGCGTCAGTTAGTTCTTGTTGACTCGTTTGGCAGTCGTTGTCTTGGATATTAATAACCTTATATTGGAATTACATTGGAAAGTGAGTTAGTTTGTTGTTATCTTCAGCAGAAGATGAGAGCTGCCGCAATATTGTAGTAATATTGCGAAAGAGGCCGAATTATTTGGAAGCAGCTCACAGCTCGTCGTGCTTGGGCCCGCTGAACTCCTTGTGAGAAATGAACCCGTTCTTGTCGACGTCTTCGTGTTGGAAAATTTCCTCGACAAGTTTGTCGTGGTCGTCGATTATTTTCTTCATCTCTTCGCTGGTGTCACCCGCCTGGTTTGCTTCCACCATCTGCTTCCTTAAGTACTCGCTCACCTGATAAACATTTCATTATAAACGTTACATTTATTTTTTCTTTTTATTATTCTTATTATTTTTAATAGAGAAGGTAATAATCAATAAATTTATTACGGATTTTATTTATTAAATTCTAAAATTTTTAGCTACAGGTTATGGGCCCGGTTTCTGACTTTTTTATTTTTAACATAAAAATTTTAATAAAATAAATAAAGAAATTTATTGAACATAAAAAAAAAACTTGAGAACTGTTGAAGCAAAGAAAATTTCTTAGTTTGTCAACAGCGGATAATAATGTCACTTTTTAGTCATTAGAGGATACTTTAAGTATAATGTTGTAGAGAGGAAAAATTATAAGAAATCCATCACCGTAAATCCCAGTGGATAACGATAGTAATTGAAAAAAAAAAAAAAAAAAAAGATCTTGCCATTTTGCTCACCTCCTCACGCGACAATTGATTATCACTGTCAACGTCGATCTCCTTAAAAACGTTCGCCGATGACTTAGCGTCCGCTATATTTATCAACTCCACTTCGAAGAGCAGAGTAGCACCTGTAAATTCAATTATATTCATTAATAATTCGTAAATATAAAGTTGAGAGTGGAACTGTCATACTTTTGCTTTAATTAAGTTAGTAATTATCTGGGTCGCATTAAATATTAAAAAGAAGAGTTTAACATCCTCATTTCAATTTAAGTTTTATTTTCAATATTTATTATTTAAGTGGCATTCGTTGTTTGAAAAATTTATATATTTCTGACAAATGGGAATAAATATTATTTTAAGTTAAACTTAAAAGACATTTGACAATTTTTTAAATATATTATAAACTTTTTTTTTTTTTTTAATTTCAGTTCTAGAAATCTTGAAAAATTACAAGTGGAATTAAAAAAAAAAATTTTTTTCAATACTAATTTTTTTTACAGAAAAAAAAATTAGACAGATTTTAAGAAAATTTTGTTTTTTTTGTAGGTAACTTTTTTTCTTCCCAAATTTTAAGCAATTAATATTATTATATTAATATTTGAAATAATATTGAGTCAATATTATTTCAAAGACACATAGTAAGAAATTCTACATTATTTTTTACATAAATCATGTATAATGACGATTAAATATTTTTGTGTAGTTTTTAAGTGAACTTGCAATGTAATTATACACATAATTAGTACACATAATTAGGAGAAAAATTCAGACAAGAATTTTTTGATTCAAAAATTTGTGAAATGAACAATTTTTAAAAAATATTTTATTTAAAAAAAAAATACTGTATTTTTAAAAAATATTTATTTAAAAAAAAAAATAAATTATATTTTTAGTTAAAAACACACATCCTCCTATCAGTCGAATGTCAACAATTGACTAGACATTATAGACTACGATGGAAACGACAAAGCAGCATTTATTGTTTGTTGACGGGGTTAATACATAAATCTTTTATTGAATGTGATATTAAATTTGTTAAGAGATTTTGAGGTGTTGTTATATAATAATTTATAGTATGAATTTTGTATGTTTCCACAGACGCCTGAAGAAGGAGTAATAAACTCCGAAACGTTGCGAAAAATAAAAATCTAGTATTAACTTATTTCATGATCCTTGGTCCTCGGATTACAATACATCAATTTAAAAGAAGTATTTTTAACTTCCCGCTAAGAAAATCGAAGATATTTTTTTTTCTCAGAGTATACATAAAATTTTTTTAACGCAATGATAAAAAATTTTAAACAATCCAACTTTTTAATTAATCGCCAAAATTTGATATTTGTCTACCAAAATATTCGGTAACAGTTGTCACTAAACAACGGAACCATAGAAAATGGAAACAATAACCAACACTAATAATAGAAACAGAAATCCTCGAAATAGCTTATGACCGCGAGAGATAGCCGTCAACAATAATAATCAAATCTATCATCAAAAATAAAATTTAACGTCACAGTATTGGTCATATATGACAACACGAATTCTGTAATGCCTTTGAGGTTTGTACCTAATTTAACGTCTCTCTTCTCTAAATACATTATCACAATTATTATGATTGTTATTACAATTATTCATACTATGAATATGGAGGCCGAAGAAGTAATTGAATTATCCATCTATACAGTGTAAACCATACCATGTTAAATCTAACAATGTGATAACAATAACATTTAATATCAATAGAACAAGAACACGCCCGCGGCTCCAACAGCATCAACAATTACAACAATAACAATAACAATGACAATAATACTACGAGCAATAGTAATAGTAATAGTAATAGCAATAGCAATAGCAACGGCTACGGCTACGGCAAGCAAAGTGTGATCCGACGTGACGGTTAACGAACCAAGCGACACATTAATTATAGATGGTACCAGTTCGATTCAATAGATGCCAATGAAATATGCTACTCAATTATTCGCTGTTTGAACGAGTAAAATTGATAATCGCCTTATACCTATATAGATCGGTGTATAGCTATGTATTTATTGGACACTGGTACGTGAATTATCGGTGTAAAGTGTAAAGTATTATACCGGAATATTCAGTATTATATTATATATTATAGTAAAGTGAAGAGTGTGCATGCATCAATGCGATGCAGATTCGACACGTATGCCACACAATTTAAACCACTATCCATGATTACAAGAGTATCCATTGAAAATTAAACAAAGGATCAATTTACTATATTTAATAGTCTCACGTTTTATATATATATGTATTTATACATTTGCGCTATCCAGTTCCCAGTAATTTAGTCTCCATTTAAATTTAAATGCTGGAAAAATTTTACCGTAAATCAGATTTCAAGTCGACTGAATAATTTTTAACTGTTTTTGTAGACGACGTTTAATCTTTTATAACTTTGATTATTACTAGCAACCTTGCAGTCACTATGTGACTGCCGTGACTTGTGAATTAAAAAAAATTTTAATTTTGTTTTGTTAAATAATGACTTTTGTTAAATTGCACTGTACTTTCTTAACTATTGACGTTTTTAAAAATATAAGCTCATCCCGATGTTACACGCATCAAGAGCTTTCATTTGAGTACCCACATGCATTTTGATATATTTTTCATATATTCATATATATAATATATATTTTAAAGATATAAGCTCATCTCGATGTTACACTCATCAAGGGCTTTCATTTGAGTATCCACATCAATTTTTCATATAAGAGCTTTCGTTTGAGTACCCACATGCATTTTTATATATTTTTCATATATACATATATATATAATTTATATAAATATATGAAAAAATGATGTGGGTACTTGAATGAAAGGTCTTGATGAGTATAACATCGGGATGAGCTTATATTTTTAAAAATGTCAATAGTTCACGAGATACAAGATCATTTCTTAATTATTTATATTTTTAAATATGTAAGCTCATCCTGATGTAACGCTCATAAAGAGCTTTCATTTGAGTACCCACATGCATTTTGATATATTTTTCATATATACATATATATAATATATATAAATATATGAAAAAATGATGTGGGTACTTAAATGAAAGGTCTTGATGAGTATAACATCGGGATGAGCTTATATTTTTAAAAATATCAATATTTAACAAGATAAAAGGTAATTTCTTAGTTATGTATTTACAGATAGAGTTTTTCTTGGTTTAAGTAAATTTTAATTAATTCAAGAATTTTTCGTCTTGATTCAAGACATTAAAACTTTTCAAAATTATTTTCTTGGTTCAAAAATTTTTCTTTTGATTTGAGTTAATAAAAAAAAAAAAAAGAACGTAAAAATTAGAAGCAATGTGTAATGAGAAAATCGAGAAAATGACTATTGTATGTGTATGTAGCAATCAAAACGGCGTATAATTGTTTCACTTGTCCGATAGGACTTACACAGTCGGTTAAGCGATGCCTATCAATATCTGACGTATCAATTTTGCAGGGCTTAATTAATCAATGATTTGGTATTTATTTATTGCCGGAGCTTGGTTCAGTTTTGTATGCTGCCTGGCGTATTTTGTGTTTAGTAGAGAGTTATGTGCGTGTGTGCTGAGAGAAACGGATACATTGTACTATTGTATTACCTCCCGGAATAACATTTCCAGCTCCGCGATCGCCGTATCCTAATTCTGGCGGTATCGTCAATTTTCGTCGTTCTCCAACGCACATGTCCACGAGCCCTTGATCCCAGCCTTTGATTACTTGGCCCACGCCCAATTGGAATGAGAACGGTGAATCACGGTCGAAACTGCAATCATAAATGTAAACGTAAAGATAAATAAAACATAAGTCAAGTTTAAATTAAAATTTATTCAACTAATTTAATAATTGTAGATAATTTTTTTTAATAAAAGTACATTTATTAACAGTTAATAAATATTTATTAATAAATTGAAAGTACGTGACAGCATCAAGACATTTAAGAGTTTGAGAGTTTGAGAGTCATTAAATTATTAAAAAGAGCAAAGCGAATTGAGATGTACTTTTACATAAATATTATAAACCCAATAAATATTAAATTTGAAATCGTGAAATACTATTCCCAGTGCTCATCCATCGGATCCACCGAGTCCCGAGTTGTAAGAAACCGCATGATGGTTATTAAATTATTTCATCGCTCAACTTTACTCCACGACTTTTCATTTAGTATGCATTTCAATGTGAAATTTTACTGCTGTTTATTTTTTTCACTTAGTTTTTCTATAATTATTTTATTTGTTCTTGGAATTTTCGTTACAAATTTGAAAGATAATTTTCAACGAACACTGCCAGGATACTAACTTTTTTGAGGATTCACTATCTGCTTTCATAACAAGAATCAAAAATACGATATTGAATAACTAATTAATTTGCAATATCATTTTCATTATCTACATTTATATTTCTCTTTTATATTAAATTCAAACTTCACTTAAAATATATTATCATTGTTACCATAAATTTATATTGCCGATCGGCGTTCTTTTGCAATAAATAAATAAATTAATTAATTAATAATGAAATATCAATTGTATGAGGGATATTTTGAAATTTTTTCTTAATTTGCCGATGGATAGATTAAATGATAAATTATCAAATCATGTATTTTTTTTCACACGGAAAAAATATTAATCTTACACAGAAAAAAAATGTAAAATTTAGCATTAAAAAATTTTTGAATTTTACATTGAAACAATTAATTATATAAAAATGTATAAAATTATATACGGCTAAAAATTTTTATATAATTAAAATTATAAAATTATTTAAATGGGTAAATTTTTAAATTTTATAACAATAAATTGAAATATTTTTTAACTAAACTTAATTAGTAATATTTCAGTTCGAATAACGCACAATGATATATATAATTTAAGAAGATTTATGAAAATTGGTATTACATAATTTAAATTATTACGTATTCATGTTACATGAATTCAATAGCAATAATTGACGGATTTATCTGATCTCCTTTTATCCAACGATTCATTTTTCCGCTAAAAAATAGAAAAATAATTGCACAGTATATTTCAAATAATTTGCTATTAAAAAAATATTTATAAATTATAAATCCCCAAATGGTTTAATTCTGTTTTGTATTTTTTAAACAAATTTATAAGAGTAAAAAAATTTTAATGCAAATTCACTGAATCGATTAAACGGGAGTTTATAGGTGCACTTGTGTAGGATCAATTTGAATTTTACTCAATACATATATATATTTATATTTATATACGCAATTTAATTCTCATTTATAACGTAAATCTTTTATTAATATCAACTACAAATACATACATCTATATTTATTTATATGACTATCGGTAATTGAATCCTTTACTAACGAAAATTATTTAGGCATTGATCGAAAAATTAATTAATATTCTTTCAATTGATATTAAATAGTAATTAATAATCTCTCTTATCGAAAAAATCCTCCGTTATTTATACTCCACTCACATTGAAAACGGGGTAGAATGATTAATACAAAAGAACTCTGTACGATATTATATGGTACCTTATATCCCAGGATATAGCACTAGCACAGTACTTATATTGCGCATTGGAGATAAAAGTCCTTGGAATTTAAATATACAATGACCATGCTTTAAAATATGGGCAGCGTAATGACTTATAGAGAGTACTCGTGAAGATAAATATGAGCCGCGTAAATGGGTTTGAATAAAAAAGAAAAATTATAAAGAGGAAAAAAATAGACCGGCTTACAGCCTAAAGCTTGAAGCTTTTGCGAATGCATAAACGCCTTTCTAATTTTTTTTTCTTTCTCGCTCTGCAGAGAAAATAAACCAGAATAAAATTATTATTATATATATATATATATA